TTTGAAGTGCAGAAAGTTGGAGCTAATCCGGTAAGTGGGTGAATGTTGAGTATCTTCTTAGAGCTTTTGTATTTAGTGTGTGTGTGTGTGTGTGTGTGTGTGTGTGTGTGTGTGTGTTTATCTTGTGTACCATGTGCATGCAGATGCCCATGGAGGTGAGAGAGAGTGTCAGATCCCCTGGAACTAGAGTTAGAGGTGTTTGTGAACAGCCATGTGAGTGCTAGGAATCAAACCTAGGTCCTCTATAAGAGCAGCTGGTGCTTTTAACATTGAACTCTCCAGGCCCTAAAGTACCTTCTTCAGAGAATGAATATGGATTTGTTTTGAATCGTATGTGGAATGGACCGAGTAGCTAAGTGGTGCACACATGACATACACTTATAAGGTACTGACGTGAGGCAGGCATCTTGGAAGACTGCCCCTGTGCAATTTCTCCACTTGCATACAGATTGGACCTAGGAGCTTGCTGCTACTCAACAGAATAAAGCAAGTGGTCTGTCACTTTTGATCTCAGGTTATGAGAAATGTGTCTTATGTCTGGCCTGCAGCCTCTCTGGCTCCTCTCTTGCTCTGCTAAAGCAAGCTGCCAAGCCATGAGCTGCCATGTGGAAAAGCCACATCCACAGCACTGAAAGAAGCCTGTTATGACCAACAAATAACTGAAGCCCTTAGTTCCAAAGACTACTGAAGTGAATCCTGCCAATAATGTCACTGAGCTTGAAAGGAAATGGTCCTTCAAGAGAAGCCTTAATCCTACCCACACCTTCACTGTATCACCGAGACTCTGAGCCATCCATGCTAACAAACCCATTACTCGATTCCCACTCACGGGGACTGAGAATGTATGTTCCAAGAAGCTTTTGGCTTTTCATGTAAGAACATGCAATGTCCCCCACACTGGCTATGGTAGTTTGAATGTAAGTGTTTCCCATAATCTCATAGAGAATGGCATTATTATGAGATTTAGCCTTGTTGGAGTGGATATGGCCTTGTTGGAGAAAGTGTGTCACTGTGGGGGTGGGCTTTGAGGTTTCCTATGCTCAGGATACTGCCCAGCGTCTCAGTTGACTTCCTAGTGCCTGCAAGATGTAGGACTCTCAGCTCCAGCTCCAGCACCATGTCTGTCTGCATGCTGCCATGTTCACAGCAATAGAAACCCTAACTAAGACACTAGCCCTAGGGGCGGCACTGTTTTGAGAGGTGTTGGTGCCTTTAGAGCATAAGGCTTGGCTGGTAGATACAAGACTGTAGATGCAGGGCTGGAGAATTTCAGGGCAGCTCCACCTCTGCTTAAGATCTCTTGCTCCTGACTGCCACAGCAATGTCACCAGCTACCTTACAACTCTGCCCACACCTTCCCTGCGAAGAGTCTCTCAATCTCAATCTGCCCCCCCCCCCCCGCCGGTCTAGACTCAAGAATGCCTTGATTTCCCTTGAGAAACCATCCTTCCACTAGTCTCAGTCACTAAGCAGGTCAAACGAGGCTCACGTTCCCCACACACACTCACTCACTTTAATGCAAACTGAGCATGTGAGACTGAAAGTTTGGCTGCTGCTGGAATTCTTAGAAGAAATGAGCTTTCTGATAGACTTGAGTTGTTAGGATGCAACTCTGGAACTACCAAAGGAACAAAATAGAGACGGCCTTTCTTAATATGAAGCCAATCACAGGGAGAAGGAGACAAAAAGAGGAAGTACTGAAGTCCTGTTGATATTATTTGATCCACTGAAGCAGTAATGCCTCAACTCAGCCTATCTCCTGACTTTACATAAACCAATCAATTTCTGCTGTTTCTAATTTCTCACCTTAAATTAATTTGTGTTTGAATGTATGGGATGGCTTTAAGACACTAACCTATGAGGGCCATGAGAACAGAGAACAAATCTGTTTTATCTGATGCTACATCCCTCATTGCTTAGCCTCATACCTGGAAAGCATGATTACTCAGAAATAGTCACTGAATAAACAAAGATTATTATCCTAACAAAAATACTGAATGGGTCCAACTTAACAAAAATGCAATGTTTTATAATCACAGTATAAAATCCTTTATAAATTAAAAGGCTCTATAATTCTATTTAATTTATTAACTTTTCCTCTTAGGATAACTTGCATTTAATAAGCTATTTAAAAGAATTCGTGTGTAAGGTTACATGTACTTTATCGAGTCACTGAGATGAGCCTTTCTTATTCCAAATTAGAGCCATCTAGAAGCCTATGCTCTCAGGAGAGTTTCATAAATAACTCTAGAACTTTTCTGATAATGCTATATTGCCTAGACCTCATGCACACATGAATAAAATAGTTCTGTCCCAAATCAATCGGTTAAAACTCAATGCATTCTTTGTCCTGGAGACAATGCTGTGTTTGGTTCCAAGTTAAACAACAGAAATGCATTTTTATGCCATCACTTTGATACAACTGTCAGTCTGCAGGAAGTTCGGAAGACAACCCACGGAGGGGATGGGGTCTTGGCTCAGGAGAGTGCTTGCCTAGCAGTTTAGGAGGCCCTGTGCCAATCACCGGCATTGGAAAACAAAAACAAAAGGGATGCAATCAGCAAAGCCCATCTTGGGAAAAACTCTGGGATAGATTATCTGACTTCCTAAGAAAAATATGAAGTATGGTAAGAAGAAACAGAGAGATGGGGGGGAACTACAGACCAACACCAACTTAAAGGCTGCACCAAACCCACTATAATCACTTGAACCCTGACTCAAACAAACTTTAAAACTGTAACATGTAAGAGACACCTGAAGATTTGAGCATCGTGTGGACAGTTTCTAAAATTAAAGAATTATTATTATTGTTGTTGTCGTATGGTAATAGTATTATGGTTATATTAAAAGAGATGTCCTTATTTTTAGCTCTATAGATTGAACATTTATAGATGAAGTCTGATGTCAGAATTTGCCTGAAACTCGATGCAGAGGTTGGAAAGCAGATGTGTCTGTGGATGGGCAGCATGGATCCCCAGCTGATGACTGCCATGGCTGGGGAGTAAAGGTAACGAGATTCTATATACTACTCTCGGCTTTAAAAAAAAAAAAGACATTTTTTTCCACATAAAATTTTCAAAAAAAAAAAAACCATCTAGAGCAAATAATCTAATTATTGAGTCTGGTGAACCTATTACCCACATTTTAAAATCTTGATCCTTGAGCTAGCAAAGTCCTTTAATAGGTTAAACTCCTACTATATGCTTCTAAACTCATTTTTTTTTAAATTTATTTATTTATTATGTATACAGTCTTCTGCCTGAACACATCCCTGTAGGCCAGAAGAGGGCGCCAGATCTTATTACAGGTGGTTGTGAGCCACCATGTGGTTGCTGGGAATTGAACTCAGGACCTTTGGAAGAGCAGCCAGTGCTCTTAACCTCTGAGCCATCTCTCCAGCCCTGCTTCTAAACTCTTACAGGAATTAAAGCCACATGACTATGAATACAGAAGCTAGAAGCAGCTGGTGCAGATGAGAGGCTGAGGAGGAGAAGGTAGAGTTCCTCTTTCTTTGGTCAAGGATTTTCACGGGTCCATTGTCCCGGCACTCCTCCTCCTCCTCATGCCTTTCTTCATCTGAGTTTTGATAGAGTTGATGGACACTTATTCCATGTAAGGCACTGAGCCGTGGTGGCCCTGATGGAAGAACCAAACAGGGCGAGAGCACCCAGTCCTCAGCCGCTGACAACTCACCCGACGTTCTCGGATCTGTAACTAGCCCCTTCCTCCTCCCGTTGACATATCCTATTTCTGCAAATTAACTACAAAATAGTCCACTTCAGATTTACACACTAGCCCCCAAATATGCAGTGGGTGTATTAAACATTCCCAGATAAAGGGATGCGAAGACACAGAGCAGAGGGTCACTCTGCCTGTCCTACTAACTTGCCCTCGGCACTTATAATAGAAAGTTTCTGACCTCTCACTGGAACAGGTCAAAGACCCTTCATGAGAAGTGTCTTCCTTCACAAAAGGGGTGTGTGACAGCCCTATCTGAAAGAAGAGGGACATGGAGGAGGAGCTGTACAAAGCAAGCCTCCTGATTCCCCAGTCCATGGTCATTTGATCAGATCTTTCAGCCTATCACTTTGCTCCACAGCTGTCTGCTCTTCATCAAACCCATAATGCCATGTGAAACTTGCATTAAACAACGTGAATGCCAGCTGGGAGGTGTGACACGCGCCTTTAATCCCAGCCCTCAGGAGGCAGAGCCAGGTGGATCTATAAGAGTTCTAGGTCAGCTACACAAGGCTACACAGAGAAACCCTATCTCAAAAAACAAAAACAAAACAAAACAACAACAAATGTGAAATGTTAAGCTGTACTTTGTCATAGAGGCCTCAGTCAGAAACCTGAATATGGAAGAAAAAAAAATTCCCCTCCCTTATACTGCCTAAATGCCCAGGGCAATTTCCTAAATCTTCCCCATTTTGACTTGCCTTACCTAATTTTTAAAAAGCAATTTTTAAAAAGGTTAAATGAATAAAAACTTTGAATTGAACCCTGTCAGTAAATAGCAGGTTGGGCCTGCCCTGGATGAGCTTCTGGTGTGAAATCTGACATATCTGTCTGACCTCTTCCGCTCTCCTCCCTTAGCTGCAGCGACATTCCCCATTCCCCGAAAGCTTCAAATGCTGCTAGCCCATGGTCTGACGTCATGCCTACAGCTAAGGTACTTTCAACAGTGCCCGGACAGCCGTAAACACCCAGCCACCGTGCCCGACAAACACCCAGCCACCGTGCCCGACAAACACCCAGCCACCGTGCCCGACAAACACCCAGCCACCGTGCCCGA